GCAACGAGGCTGGTGAAGGGACTTGAGCACAAGTCCTACGAGGATAGGCTGAGGGAGCTGGGGTAGTTTAGCCTGGAGAAGAGAAGGATCAGGAGTGACCTCATCACTCTCTACAACTACATGAAAGGAGGTTGTAGCCGGGGGTGGTCGGTCTCTCCTCCCGGGCAACCACCAGTAGGACAAGAGGGCATGGTCTTAAGCTCTGCCAGGTGAGGTTTGGGTTGGATATTAGGTAGAAATTCTTTACAGAGAGGGTAGTCAGACATTGGAATGGGCTGCCCAGAGAGGTGGTGGATTCTCCATCCCTGAAGGTATTTAAGAAGAGACTGGATGTGGCACTTAGTGCCACCACACTTAGTCTAGTAACTGTGGTGGTATTGGATCGAGGGTTGGACTTGATGATCTCAGAGGTCCTTTCTTACCTGGCTGATTTTACATTCTATGATCTGAGAAAAGACATGTCAGGGATTAAGGAGAAAATGGACAGATGTGCAGAGTGGCTGGATGCCAGATGTGCTCTCTGATTATTCTCCCCTCCCCCAAGCATCTGGAATTAATTCTGCAGACTGACTGTAATTGCCATAGTTACTGGAAATGGTTTTAAAGGAGCATGAGGGTGTTGTGCATACATGTAATCAAAGAAACATAGAAAGGGTGGAAGTAAAGTTTTGCTTCCTTAATTGTGTGATCAGAGTTTCCAAGCACTCTTCATCATGATGATAAAGTAGGTATCTGAATCAATTGAAGCACTGACTCCTGCATAGTAGTTCATGAATTCTTCTTTTGTGACCTGAAACAGAGGGATTTAAAATAGGAAAAGGAACATTTTCTTTTGATGCTGTAAGTCAAAACCACACATTGAGGTGTACTTTTAGAAAACAGAACATCTGCTATTTCATGTTGTTGCTAACAAAAAGGAATCAAACAGGAGGGAAAAAAGTCATAGGAAAATTGGTTAAGTTTACTTTCCTAGACTCAAGAGCTCTTGGATAGACATGAAACACATGAAGTTCACTAACATTACCAGGAACTAAAGTTAAAATCACTGCTCCCTAAGAAGACAGGTGTTTTAACATACTTTTTTTCCAGGGATGATATGATCTGGTTCTTTTCATTACAATTAATAAAGGTGGATGGGGTTTCTGATACAACCCAGAGACAGTTCAGAACTTTATATCTACCCACAGAGAGAAAATATCATTGCCCTAAACAAGTCTCACTTAATGAAGTAATAACTTTTTCAAATACCTAAGAGTTTTGAATCTCTCTCACAGGTATTATGAGGTGGAATAATTTTTAAATGACCATTACAAAAAGTAAGGATAAAATTAGCAGAGACACAGTGTATGTTTCTCATGATGTCTTAAATCATGAACCATGTAGATCATTCTTTGAATAATCAACACACAGGAAAATAAAAACATTTAAAAAGGCATTAAGTTATTAAAGAGGGTACAAAGGAAGGCCATGAGGATGGTGAACTGCCTTGAGGGGAAGCCTTGTGAGGAGCAGCTGAGGTCACTCAATTTGTTCTCAGCCTGGAGAAGAGGAAACTGAGGAGAAATCTCATTGCAGTCTACAACATCCTCATGAGGGTAAGCAGTGGTAAGTCATGAGTCCAGGAGTTGGACTCAATGATCCTGATGCATCCCTTCCAACTCAGCATATTCTATGATATTTACTCTGATTGTATTGTGTGTTTGAGAGCTAAGTAAAACATGACAAAAGGGAGAAGTGATAACTATAGACTGTCCTACCATCATGAACTGATTACAAGCCTTGCTGACCCATCCTATTTCAGCGGCACCCAATAAGACCACAGTGAAGAGGATCTTTCTAGTAATTGCTTAACCTTGAGGCAATTCTGTTATAAACATTTTAGGTATTCAGTATCATTAGTGTCTTCTGATTCAGCCACAGGAAAGCCACAGTTAGTTCTCAGAAGAAACAGCAATCAGGCGAGCTAACACCAGGATTGCTGAACAAGAGGTGGGTGCTCAGGATAACAAGGCACTGAACTCTCAAGGATCACTCTGGAGATTCATTTAATGTGTTCATGGGTGACCTCAGCATAAAAAGCAGAAACCTTTTCTTTGAGATTTGCTAGATATCACCACTGCTGAGGAGAAGAAAGGGGACAGCTGGCCCAAAACTGGTAGCTCTGAGCATGACACAACAGCATAAGGGATGAAATTCAGCTCTACTAAGTGCAAAGTCATGCCCAAGGAAAATAAAATCCATTACCTCTCTACAACTGAGAGCCTGGGTGTTGGAAGCAAAGCAAGTGAAGGATTTGGGTGTAGTAGCCAACCACTAGACAGGTAGGAGCTGTCAATGTAATGCAGGCATGAAAACACAGGTGCACCCTCAAGAGTGGAAGGTGTTGAAGATGTTCCACAAAGCACTGATAAAACCTTATCCATTTTGTTATTATTAACTGTTCAGATTGAGAATATCACCACGTGAACCATGGAGATCCAGCATTGCTCTGAGCTGATCAGACAGATGTAAGGTCAGCCAAAAGCAGTTTACAGGCACGTAACAAGGGGAAACAGAGCAAGCTTGTCTCAGAGATGGTTGTAAAGCAGATGCACAAAAAGTCCACCACAAAAAGTGCCCAGGCTTTGCACCTGCACCAGAGAGATGAGGCAGAGGGCAGGAAGGGCTTGCAGTTCCACCCCGGCTCAGGCTTCTCAGGGCACACAGCTGGTGGCAGCATCCCCAACCCCATCCTCCCTCCAACTCTCTGCAGATAAATCTGTTTCTATTATGGACAGATTTCTGAGTCAAATGTCTCAGTAATTACACTGGAGAATAACTGTAAAATATTTAATATATTAGGAACTTGTTTTTTAATTAAGTCCGAGTATTTATTCTCCTAAGAAGTGAAAAATCCTCCAATTCATGTGGATCTTAAAAATCAGCATGCTCTAGCATGCAGGCTACAAGCCTGGTAATGTAATCTCTTGCACCTCCTGCAGAGCCCCTTTGCCTCAGAATGTGCAAGCATGCTGTCCCGGCAGTGCTATGCACACCCTATGCATCTACTTTATTTTTCCACATAAATGTGATGCAAATGCATGTATGGTACTGCAATCACTCCGATGTTTAAGAATATAAGTCAAGTGCTGAGTCAGATGGTGATTTCATGGCTTGCTATTGTTTCACTTACCTTCCCATCTTTGTCATAGTGTGAATCAAAATTATCCAGAAAGGCTCTAAAAACTTGATCTTCTGTCCAGTCTCCATTTAAGTATTTAGGATGGTGTTTCGGATTATACACATCTCTTAAGTCTTCAATTGTTATGACACCATCTCCGGTCTTGTCTAATTTGTGAAATGCTTGCATTATTATTTCCTTTCTTGCATTTGACATGGGAGGCTGTAAAGAAATATTAACAGAATCATTTTATTTCTGTCAACTACTTGCCAAGTTCCAAATTCAGGTACCTGCTGTTGTTAGGAGTAAAACTGTTTCAAGGTGTATGGGTCAACAGACAGCTGACAATCTGCACTGCCATGAGCTACAAAGGACAATATAGCACCATAAAAAAGCAATGTGATTCAGACTATTCAGTGTCAACCAGTACAATGGATGATAAGAGAGAAAATACTACCTAGAACACTTTCCTATTCTGCCCATTTTATATATTTCTAACAAGAAATTACTCATTACTCCAAACACTAATATTTTCTATCTTAATTGTTTAGACTTCAGCAGAGCAAAGAGACTCCAACCAAAATCAGCCATGGTGTGATGGACTAAAGAGAGTCTCCCCTGGATTAGTTTATGTTCTAAAGAGATGGATCATAAAAGGACGAATAAAGAAGTGAGATTAACGGGCTGAATCACATAGATACCCAGACTGCAACATAGGAATTTAGGTAACTTAATCAAGACCGCAATTCACTGAAAAGAACCACAACAATTTATTTGCAAATATTCTGTTCTATCTTGTTCCATTCTGTTCTGCTATATTTTACTCCATTTAATGCAGTATTAACAAAAATTCCCAGACTTACTCTCAGGGTAACAAGAAGTTCATCGAAATCAATTGTTCCATTGCCGTCTTTGTCAAATATTTGGAAAACCTTTTGTCCTTCTTCCTTGTCTAGCATGATTGCATAATCTTGTAATCCTCTCATAAATTCTTGGAAGTTGAGGGTTCTGCTGTTGTTGTGATCCATAATTTGAAACATTCTGCAGAAAAGGTGACATTTGAGGAAAATGCACAGAAAAACATGGAGGATGCTGCAATGCTGCAATGGTTTAGCACAGTGCTGGAGCACAGGGTCACTTTACTGAGGTAACATTTGACTCTTTTTCAGTCTTCTGAGGGGGATTGGGGAGGAAAGGAAAAAAAACCCAACCAACAAAGCCCCCCACAGTTATAGGCAGCAGAGATGACTGGTTTCTGTTGGGTGCCAGATTATTGCACATCTGAAGGTAAATGAGGGAAAGGCTGCCATGATCTTCCTGTTCATTACAGTGCTCTGCCCTTGGCAAGTTGGGCATTTAGACGAAGCTCCAGTTGGTCACCAGCTGGATCCCTTCATGGTTTATAGGGCTGGGAAGGGTTTCAAGGTGTGATGCAGCTCCCCTTTCCTAGGACTAGGGTGCAAAAGGAGTTTAAGTGCCTCCCCACCAAGGCAGAGTTACTACACAAACCATTACAAAGGCCATTACAAAGGCCATTACACACAAGGGAATCACATCTGAAAGAAAAGAAGCATAAAATCCCCTGTATTGAGATACTTAAAATAATTTTCAGAAACACCAAAGAGAGATATGTGGCTTATGCTTGCCTTCTCTCCCTGGCAGGAGTTGTTCTGGGTCTCACAGGAGCACCTTCCCATGAGAGAGTCACAGTGCTCATCCCTTCAATGGCAAGCAGGCCAGTCCTGTGTCCCAGAATACATGAGCTCCAAGACCAGGCTCTGTGGGTTGTGGCATTTGCATTGGAACCAGGAAACTCAAATTTTGGTCCCTCTTAAGCCTGTGAGCTTCTTGCAGCTAAAACTATTAGGCTCGATAATGGATTTGACTTAGACTTACTTTCCAAGTCCTTTGATGCCAGCAGATCCCTTTGCTAAACACTGCAAACGAAGTTTTTCAATGGGGTCAGTAGCTTCCAATAGGTTTCTTTTGGCCTGTATTGCCATGTCTCGGTCATGCCTTGCTGTGCCCGGCATCTGAAAGACCAAAACAGTCTTGTGATTCACATTCAGGCATAGTGCTGAAACGTGCCTTAGAATATGGAGCATCCCAAATCCCTCACCTGCAAGGCAACTCTTTCATGACAACTCATTTTGACTTTCTATTTCCTTTTCCTTATATCCTTCTATCAGAAAGGAAGTTGCCAATATAGGTTATCAGCCATGATAGCAAAGCTCAGCCAACCACCCTGTGATTAGACAGGAACACCTGGGTAAGAATTTTCTGCCTAAAGTGTGAAAATACAGTGAAATCTGGTGGATGAAGCCAGGATAGTGAGGCTGCCTCCATATTCCCTGCATCCCTACCAAGCCTCCTTCTCCACCTGAAGAGGTTTGCTGATAGCATTTGACCACAGGAACACAAAAATTACCCTGGGTGAGGACCTTTGCCTTACATTTGCTTTTGTTCCACTAAGGCCCTAATTCTCCAGAGCAGAGCTTTCTTACACTGCATGTCTGAGCAACAGCAATCACCTGCAAACGACACTTCCTGCTTTTTTAACACAACTGCAGAATAAATTAGTAACTTAAACTTGGGCAGCATGTAGAACCTCGGGACTTCAGACTCCGCCAAGTCACATAAGCCTTCCAGCTTCCCTCAGAGGAATTAAGAGGGAAAAACCAGCCTATGAATCTGCAGTGCTGCAACAGCACCACCAAGAGGAGCACGCCCGGGCTGGCAAAGTGTCACTCCTTCTCCCACGGGCAGTATTTGTGACTAGTGCTAAAAAACGCAGAGCTGTCCATGTCCATAACCAATATTTTAGGGCCACATGGATTCCTTGCCCCTAGGCACATGCTCAGGGCCAAGACTGCTGAGGCAGTGCTGGGATGAGGAGATGAAGATAGGCAGCCCTGTGAGGCATTAGTGCACGTGGCACTTCCAATCCCATTGTCACTGCATGTACAAAAGTGTGAACTGAAATAGCCAGAGAAAACTCATGAGAAAAATGGAATCAAACTGTTTTGTCTTAACTACTCTGCCCCTGTCTGCAGAGCATTGGCTATGGCTGCTGATAATGTCACATATGCTGCATTTTATAACCCCTTCAGATGACTCCAGTTGAGCTTGGAAAAACAGGAAAATAAAGTGGTTTTGTACACTGCAGTTGGTTTCAGTGCTAGGTTATTGTAGAAGTCTAGAGAGGTAAAATAGAGACCATTTTGGTTTTTGCTTTAGACAGAACAAGCAAATTTCTTCTGGGAACTCATTAACCAGTGACCAGAAAGACCTTACAGCTGCATGAGATCAGCAGCCAAAAATGTTTTCTGTAAACAATGACCTGTCCTTAAGGGAAAAATTTTAGCTGGAAAGAATATAAAATACTGTGAGGTTACATAAACACAGTGCAAACTATATCTCCATTATATAATTATGCACTGTAGCTTATATATAATATATAACAACTATACTTCAATTCCCAGAGTGCATAGTGCATGCATAGCACTGTGCAATATGCTTCCACACTGTGTTAGGTATTGATATGTATTTATATGAGGACATAGTTTGTCTCCATTGCATGCTGCAAAAATCTACACAAACACACACCATGAGAAAAGTGTAATACTTTGTTACCTCGGGTTCAGTGGAATCATTTCCAGCATACTTCAAGGTGTGTCAAATAATCATTGCAGCAAGATTCATGAATTGAGACTAGGGAGGGATAATCTGATTTGGTATCTGTTATGATCTCCTGTGCCTCAATAAAAGGCACTGACACTGACCAGTCCTCTGTTATCTCCGCAATAAGTAAAAAGTTTGCTTCTTCATCTACAAGCATTTCTAGCTGAGAACTCACCATCTCCAGGCCAAGTTGCTCTAGCATTGAATAATTTTCCTTTTAAAATATGTTCTTTTTTTTCTAGTGAATTTCCCCCATCATTAAATGTTGTTTTACTTTTTTTTGCAAGGGCTAAAGAGTTACCTATTAAAATTTTGTTCAGATACAAGAACTTGAAGGTCTCTTTTAAATCCACTTTGGCTAAATAATTAGGCAGATCTCAGGATTCCTGATACAAAGCGAATTTCCAGATCTCAGGTAATTCTGCAGTTATGCTTGAACTTTTTTTTTTTTCCAGTGCTGCTTCTGAAGTGGATCAGAGCACTCCAATAATACCACTAATGCCATAGGTAGAGGTATTCCAACATCTCCCCCACCGCCATGTATCATGGTTAAAAACACTAATAATATTTCTGCTGCTCTTTGCAAATCTGCATTCTCTATATTGTTCAATAACAAAATCACCAATAATGAACACTATAAAAACCATATACAAACTATATCAACATATATGCTATACAAAGCTCAGCAATTAAAGTCTGTTTGCAAAGTAATTGCACTTACACTTGACCTTAAAGCATCTTAAACATGACCTGGCTGTCTGTGTCACACAGCAGTATCTGTTTGAGAAGCCTTTCTATACATCCAGTATATACAGAAAACCAGCTAAATATAAACCCTGCAGCATGCAAGCCTGTTCCATAGAAACACTTTTGCCAGTTTCCTATTTCTGTTGGCTGCTGGTTTAAGCTGGAAATAAACCCTTCTTAGGCTGTATTGAAAAAAAATATTCCAAATCAGTGCAAGGAGGGAGAAATCACATGCTCTTTCCTCTCCGCTTATTTTGCTTTTGCCTCTTTTTGGATAATGTGAAGTAATTAAAGATGCAATCAGGGTTTGCTGAATATAACAATTCTCTGTGCACTGTACAAATGTGTTACATATTAAACTCATTAATAAAATGAGAACAGCTTGTAACCATAATTGTGCATGGTTTTAATTCCTATATCTTACCCAAGATTATCAGACATCTCCCTCAGTGAAATTAATCAGCAGTGTTTATTTTAACTTTGAATGCTAGAGAGTTTTGTTTTGCTTAACAGCCTGGGCCGTGAGCAATTACAATAGCTACGCATTGTTTGTTTCTATGGGCAATGTTGTGTTGTGCAGGCTGAACAGAAATTATTGCGTGTATTCCAAACAAATGCAGAACCTTAAATTTTGGGCTGGGTTTTTCCAGCAAAATCTTAGGCCATTCAGCAACCAGGTCCTTTTACATTCCTCTGTGCCAGAGAATTAAACCTGGAAGAAGTCAGATTCAGTCTAAGCTCTGCACCATTTGTTTAAATGTTATCCTTCAGCTGAGCCCAAAAGCCTCCTATGAAATCCTGGAAAACACTCCAGCATGACAGGCAGACTCCCCATACTTGCCTCTGGATTACCTAAGACTCCAGAAAGCCCCTGTCCTGGTCAAAGACACGAGTAGCACACCACCCACCCCAATATCTTATGACCTGCGAACAGATTAAGTGGCCTAAAACAACTGCACATATTTGGTTTACTCCTTATGATTTCATCAAATTATTAAAAGCACAAAAACTACTGGAGTATTTGGCAACCATTTAAATGCCTCTTTAAAAATCTGGCTTACCACCCCCGCTTGACCCAACCTGTAGCAGCTTCCCGTCTCTCACTTCATCATCCCCGACCTTCTGGCAGGTGGACATTACTGCTCTTGCTATTTTGCAGATAGGTAGATAGATAGACAGCATATATATATATATGAATATACAATGATATATATTAAAATATATAATTTTAATAAAATATGAAATATACAGTATTAATATATATTCTATAATAAAATATATCATAATATGTTATTTTTACATATATATATAATTATATATATTTTAGAAACCTGCTTTTGGCCGATCGGAGAAACTTACTGCAAGGTAACAAACAGGAGAAAAAAATCCTCTACCTGCAATATTATCCTGAACCCGAGGTTTTCACCAAGGTCTGGACGTGTTCAGAGCACCGGGAGGGGTTGTGCCCCACTGCTTCTCTGCAGCCGGGCTCAGGCAACAGGTTGAGGGAGTAATGAAAGGCCTCACTGCAAAGCTTACTTATAGATCTCGTTCTACTTGTTTACACACCCAGCTGCCTTACCCCCCCTTTTTGGGAGGCCTGGAGTTTACCAGCTAATCTCCAAGGTCACACGGGAAGCAGCAGTGGCCCAACCTGCAATTACACTGCTTCCCTGGATGATTGCTGTGGGATTTTGAGACTCTTCGTGTTTTATCTCTTAAAAATAATGCTCTTCTTCTCATCACTGCCCACAGAGGAGCAGATGGGGATGTGGGAGAGTAGGAAATGCCTCGTGTTGCCCCCCACTGAGATAGTAGGCCAGGGATGATTATGGAAAGGTGCTGCATTGCCGTGCTGGCCTTGGCTATGTTTTCAGAACATTTCCCTACTTTCGTAGTTGACGGCGTTGAAAGAACTCACTGGTTCAATCTTTCACTCAACACCTAATAGGAGAATTTAAATAAAAGACTGTCTACTGTATTTCACAAAAAACAGCTCACCAGCGTATATGTTTTTTCCTGCTGATTAATTGCCACTTTATAGACCCACTAGTGGTTAGAACCTCTGGGGAGACATTGGGCTTGCGTTCATTTGCAGCAAGAAAAAAACTGAAAAGGTTAAACAACCATATGATGAGGAAAAATTGTTCTCTGACTAGACACAGCTCTTAGTAACTCTGTCTGCAGAAGGTCACAAACATCGCTAGTGAGATAATGCAACACTTAGGTAAGGAATCACGGTGTTGATAGACTCCTTAGCTGAAAGAAATGGACTGTGTCATATTACCTGGCCCTGTCGGGCAGCAGCAAGGTAAACACAAAGGACCAAACCTCATGGCAGCAGCAGCACCTACAAGTTAGTGTAAGAGCACATGGAAAACGTGTTGGAGGGTAGGAGGGTTCTGCAGAGGGACCTGAACAGGCTGCATAGAGGGGCTGAATCCAATGGTATGATGTTTAATAAGACCAAATGCCAGGTCCTGCACTTTGGCCAAAACAATCCCCTGCAGCATTACAGGCTGGCACAGAGTGGCTGGAGAGCAGCCAGGCAGGATGGGATCTGGGGGGTCTGACTGACAGCAGCTGAACATGAGCCAGCAGAGTGCCCAGGTGGCCAAGAAGGCCAAGGGCATCCTGGCCTGGATCAGGAACAGTGTGGCAGCAGGAACAGGGAAGTGATTCTTGCTCTGTACTCAGCGCTGGTGAGGCCACACCTGGAGTGCTGTGTCCAGTTCTGGGCCCCTCAGTTCAGGAAGGATGTTGAGGTGCTGGAGCGGGTCCAGAGAAGAGCAACCAGGCTGGTGAAGGGACTTGAGCACAAGTCCTACGAGGATAGGCTGAGGGAGCTGGGGTAGTTTAGCCTGGAGAAGGGAAGGCTCAGGAGAGACTTCATCACTCTCTACAACTACCTGAGAGGAGGTTGTAGCCAAGTGGAGGGGGTTGGTCTCTTCTCCCAGGCAACCACCAGTAGGACAAGAAGGCATGGCCTCAAGCTCTGCCATGGGAGGTTTAGGTTAGACATTAGAAAGAAATTCATTACAGAGAGAGTGATCAGACATTGGAAGAGGCTGCCCAGACTGGATGTGGCACTGAGTGCCATGATCTAGTAATCACAGTGGGGTTGGATCAAGGGTTGGACTTGATGATCTCAGAGGTCCTTTCCAACCCAGTTAATTCTATGATTCTATGATCAAGTTCAACTTTTGGCCCTTGACAACTGGACTATGGCACTAAGTGCCACATCCAGTCTCTTCTCAAATACATCCAGGGACGGTGAATCTACCACTTCCCTGGGCAGGCCATTCCAATTCATGATGATCTCAGAGGTCTTTTCCAACTTAGTTGATTCTGTGATTCTGTAAAATGGAGGCAAAGCCCAGTCTGGCCGCTGATAAAACACTGAGCAAGAATGAAAAATTACATTGTTTCTTGGCAAAAGCAGAAAATTGTTTCAGGCAATTGCTGGGTAGTACCACTTGCAGCCTGGCAGGCTGTTTATCTTTCATCGACAGGTACTTCCCGGTACTAAACTGAAGCTTGTGCAAGACTTAAAATATGACTTTATATCTCTCATCTAGCAGCTGATTGCACATTAATGCACAAGCAGGAAACAATGTTTATTTGATCTTTTACTGATTCAGAAATATCGACCTTGTGAAAATGTAACATCCCTCTGTCTACTAGCTTTGTTTTGGGAACTGATCTCCAGAGACCTCTTGGGAATACAGAAGAGATAAGGGCCTAGGAACAATATTTGGTCTGCTGGCATGGGAAGAGCAGCTCCTACTGTCTGCTCACACACTGCAGAGGCACCAGGGCATGGAGAAATGGTTTCCACTGAACAAGTTGGTCCTTGGAATTCAGCATTCCACTTCAGTAAAGAAATTCCTCAGATGCAGAATTTACATTGACTTTCAGAAGGGTGCTTGTAGATTAGAGCAAAAAGGATGGGCTCTTGAAAGCAGAAAAAGTAAGTGAACTTAACATGTGGATAGTCAACACACTTCTGCTGCCTTTTCTGCCCTCTGCGAGTCAAGGCATATACAGACACACATGGATGTTTAGTTCCCCTTCCACATACTCCTTTTTAAAACTGGACTGTGCCATGTCTGAGCTAGTTAATGACTTACCAGTTTGAAAAATTATTAATATGCATCAGGCTGTGATGAAGCTTATTTTAGTGTATTCATTACTGTGTACAAAGCTGTAAGCAGAGTTCAGTGAATTCAGAATTTATCATAAAGGAGACAGACATTTCATCAGAACTCTGGAATTTTTCCTCCCCATTTTCTAACTTGCTCTGAATACATACATGTTTGATTTTTTGTTTTGCCTGAACACCCTGAACTGTCTGCTGAGTTTGTGGTTCAGCAGTGGACTGAATCTACAAAGAAAAACATACTATGAGGTCTAACATGATCTAGAAACTCATGACAGAGATGGAGAATTTGTCAACTCAAGTTTCCAAAATTGGAAAACTTCACATTGAATTTTGGCAGGAGGGAAGGTATAAGAAATGCCTTTAGAAGCATTATAAGTGTCTCAAAAAAGGAGGCTCTGGGTGTTTTGCTGTATTTAGTTTTCATGTGATAGCCCTGTTTATTAACGTGCCACCTGTGACCTTCATTGCGGAGAAGCTCTCCAGCTGTGAGAAGTAAACATCATGTAGATAAATCACCATGGCTGTTAGTGTTCAATACAACTAAATTAGGGGGTTAAAAGAAGTAGCAAGCATGAAGTCTCAGAACACTATGCACCGAAAAAGACTAATTTTACAGGATAAACCTTCAGGTTTTTTTTCCTTCCATTAAAATTAGGAAAGTTTCACATACACTAAAAAAGAAACCCTTGTGGTAAGTACATTGTCAAGGGAAAAGTATTCTGATTTTAAACCAAGATATAATCCAATTAAATCACAGAAACATAGAATGGTTTGTGTTGGAAGAGACCTTACAGATCACCTAGTTCCAAATCCAGCTGAACTCTGACTCCAAATAAAATGCTTTTATATTCAAAAACACTCTGTCCCTGTGAGGTTTTTAGTATTCCAGCTGAAATTAATTGTCTGCTTTTCAGAGCAAAGACCAGCTGGCACATGCAGACTATGCTCATGCTACGGAACTAATTCCAAAGAGGGGGGTCACCACCCACCTGCCTGTTTGGTCCAGTTCCCAGATCTGCTCGTAACAGAGATGCAACCCAGTCCCTCCACGTGGGTCTGACCCCACAGCACTGACCCTCAGTTCATCCCTCTGGGCTGAGGAGCCTTTCCAGGCCGAAGAATGCACTCTGCCAGCAGCGCCTGCACAATGGATTGATCTGCTTGGCTACACATCTACAGCATTCGTAACCTTTACCTTTACTTGCCTTCTCCCTTCACTCTCGTGCAGTACAAACAGATTCTATTTTTTTAACACTATGTCAGCTGCTAAAGGCATGTGTAACTTGACAAGTTTTTGAAGGTGATTTGAGACCAGGAGCATTCCAGAAGTGCAGGTAATTGTTTAGAATTTTTATTTTTCTTGAAAATCTCCCACAAATCTGCTCTCAGTTGGAGAACAGAAAATTAAAACACTAGATACTTCAGCTTTCTAAGAAGTTCAGCAACTAATGTTTATTAAAAATTGCTTATTTTTATCCCATGCCTTGAAACAATAAAACTTTAAGGTTTTAAATATTTCAGGCTAAGTGGAAAAAACAATGTTGCGGGAGTTAGGTTTCTTTTTTTCATTCTATTACATTTCTCAAAAATATTGGCAAGTTTCTGTCAACCACAGTGAAACAATACAATGGAAGACTAACATGCATGAGAAACTTCTGTATTCAGCCCTCGCTCTATTTTGTCTATAGAAGAAAACAGTGAAATGGGCCCAGCATTTAGTGGGATCAAATACCTCTTGATGTTGAAAAGCTGTCCTTAATCATTGCAAACTGGGGCAACTAAGGAAGAATAGAATAAGAACAGTCTGCAGCTCTCTGCAACCAGAAACAGAACAATCTGTCCTTAGTGAAGGGGCAAAGAGGAGGGAGCCAAAACCAGAAAGAAGGTTTCAGCCAGCTGCTCCTCAGAAAGGCCTCCCTAAAGACAATCACAAAGTGCTGGAATGGCCGGGGGAAGGAAGGGTGGTTGTGGAGTCTCTGCAGTTGGCACAGGAATATGCCAAGAGGGGAAGTCTTTATAACTTTTTTGCACCCCTCCCAGTCCTCAGAAATATGGGTTTTTGCAGGTAAATGGAATCATGCAGGCACCATTAGGCAGGAGAGTAAAAGGTGGGTAGGTAGTGATGTCAGTAGTTGCACAGGAGACGGCAGAGCCAGGCAAGGCACTGCTGCAGGAGTATCTGGAGGAAGGTGGTGGAGGGAGGAGCTGAAGTAGTGGCAGGGAGGGGAATGCTTCCCTTGCCAGCCCGTGGAGCCAAACAGGCTGCAGCTGAGACTTCAGCCTGTGTGATACCATTTCTGAAACAACCACAAGTAGGATGTAGCTATTTCTTGTTATTCTCTGGAGATTCCTCTCCAAATTTCCAGGGACTGTTTTGGT